CTGGCAGGGCGGTGAGCAATCCTCTTCAAGTGCGTCTGGTGGCTATGGTGGCTACAACACACTCAATCAATGACCTGGCATTCCAGGTTTCTGCCAGGACCTGGAAGCCCAGGTCCTGGAACTAGCGCAGCCCCAAGAAGTAAGTTTTCCAACATATGAAAACCATTATGAAGTAAGCTAATGGGGCTAAAGATTACTTCCCTTGTCTCCCATACTGCTGCAATGCAGGTCAACATTTTGACTCAAAGTTTACTTGTTGATTTGCCTCGGTTTGCAGCTCAGAGCCAGAAGCCCGACTGGTGCCGACAGTGGGTGCATTTTGGGTGGGGAGTACACTAAATGCCAGCAACCCTGATTTTGTGAGCGGTGAGCGGCTGGCGGGTCACACAGCTGCCGAGCGTGCCTCTGCTTCATTCTGAATGCAGCAAGGTTTGTTATCAATCCCAGCATCTAGGTCATCCTCATGAGGGCCAAGGGCTCCTGCAGCATCGGTCTGCCGCACATGGATCAAACGTGGAGCTGTAGGCCTGTGCGGGTTCACTGGCAGTGCTCGTGGAGGCCCCACATGGATCGAATGGTTCAGGAAGCTGTACTCAGCAGGTCTAGGTTCTCGACGAAGTGTTTCCTGTATCCAGCTGGTAAGAAAGCTGTGGGCTGCTTGACTGATGGCAGCTCTTTCCAGCCCCAAATCAGCCTGGCGCTTCACCTCCATGCGGTCCTTGCGGCTGATGGTCCTGCGAGGATTCATGCCAGTAGGTTGTCGCCGCATGGTTGCCTGAAGTCTGCACACCTCTGCTGCTGAAAACAACCAGCATATCTGGAAGGGAGATGCATCGCTCATGTACTGAAAGACAGCCAACATGATATCATCTTCGTGAGGTTGTCCTGTGGCCACTGCCATCGTTTCTGTGGCATTCTGCCAATCATCTGCCTTCAAATGCTTGCGGGCTAGCACTCGGAATCCATGCGGCGCTCGTGGACCTTGCGGGATCACACGCAAAGCCCTGCTGGCACCTCACTAGACATGTAAAAATGAGTTATCATCCATGCACAACGTTGCCAAGCATTCGCAAAGGTGCCGGTGATGAGTGCCAGGTTCAAGGGAATCTCATTGATCCAGCTAAGCCAGTCTGCAGCTTCATTGTGTTTCTGGGCCACTTGGAACAGTGTGCCATCCTCGAACTTGGCCTGCTTCATGAAGTCGTTGTAAACGGCGGTGAGCTGGTCTGCGGTGTCGAATGTGGAGTTACTTGTCCGTACCACTGCGTGGCCGCCCAGCCCATCCAGCGGGCTGTGGGTGTGGCCTTTGATGGGAAAGCCAAGATAGGCTGTCTCTATGACTTCAAGGCAGACCAACTTGATGAAGAACTTGACCATGAGCTGGTTCTTGTTGTTTGAGCTGGTGTTATCCAGCATCAGAACAATGTTCCTTGGTAATGACTTCAGGCTGTCATAAATGCGGCTGAAGCTGCGGCTCAAGGCGTCCACATGATTCACTGTATCCTTGCGGAAGTCAGCGTCGCTGATATTGAAACAGACATCGTAGCCATGACACCACAGCATTTGCACGTGCAGCGCAGGCCGTATCACAGCCTCCAGGCTCTTGGTCTTGTAGAGTGTCCGTGGCACTCGGTGTTTTGCCTGGTCGAGTCCGTCACTTCGGACAAGTAGAACGGAATGAGCCAGATCGCCCACACGGACGTTCGGGTTCCTCGTATCTGCAAATCACACACAAATTCACTGAGGCCTCTGCCATGTTAGCTAATTTAGCCTGGTTAGGGTTGGCTGTCTAGGCTTCCTAGCATCAATTGGCAACCTTAAGTCTTGCCAAGCTTCATGGCTGCCGATCTTCCTTGCACCGACTGTGCGTGGAATACTGCATCTGCTTGGCGATCACGCCAGTTTTGCAATAGGTGTTCTGCATACTGTTCCACCAACTGGGCCCGCTGTCCCAAATTGTGACATGCTCTCAGCTGTTGTTTGAACCATGTGCAGGAGTCACAGTTCCCATGCTGTCCTTGGGACTTCCTGAAGCGAAGCCATGGTCTTGCTTGTGTCAGGGCTCGTCTAAACGTCGTCCAAGAAGGGGCCGGGGACAAACAGCTTTGGGAGCACCAGCGCCGCAGCATCTCGAAAAGCATGTTGGCTTTCATGACACCTAAATACCGCCGTGGCCCTGGAGCAAGGCCAGGACCGACAGCTGCATTGGAAAAGGGGTTGTTCATAACCACTGCTTTGATGGCTAGTGCACTGAGGGCCCTGGAGTCTTGCTCATCCAGCTCCTCTCTTGACAATTTCTCCTTGTCACTGGAGGACTCTGAAGAATCATCTTCTGCAGCCTGCCTGGCACTGTGGCTTGCCTCGCTGCATCCCACATACAAACAACGGCTACCCAGGGTCGGATCGAACTCAAACCTGTCGGGCAGAAACTCACCATCGTAATGGTATCGCTCCTGCAAGAACCGGTTGCAGATATCCAATTGGCTGGACGCATGAGGGCGCGGCAACCGATGTCCCTGCTTTCTCGTGTCAGGCAAGCCACGCAAGACCTGGCAGGCCGCAGTGAGAAGAAACAAATTTTAAGGGCGATGAATACACAATATGCATATATACATATTTACACACACGTTATGCCATGATAGCACAACATCGGAAAGAAATGAAGAAGACCCCCACACTTCATTCACAACCAGTCCAAGCCAGAAATGGGTTCGCTGAGAATTGACCAAGCCGCTCGTTGCAATCTGGTCCTCCCGATTCCAAGGAAAAACATACCACTTTGACGGCAAACCATACAGTCTTCTGTAGCAGATGGCAGGATGCGCTGCAAGGGGACAGATGGCTGCTTAGCGCCCACTCGTGTAGCATACTGCCGCACGTGCGCCTTTGCCTTTGCCTTTGCAACTGAAACCGTAGAGGACTGGGGCGAACGCAAGTCCAAGTGACCAGAGTCTGCAGTTTCACTGGAAGTGCTGGTTCCAGAAAGCTGAACATCCACCTTTTCTTGCGCACCTGCAGGCTGTTCTTCTGAGTGCTCAGTCCCAGTGCCAGAACTCTCTCTTGTCAACTTCAAGCACTTCCTTGGCCTGGATCTGCTGGCGATGTCTTGTTCTGACTGTTCTGTTTCCGTGCTGGATTCCAGCTGCTGGTCTCTGTGGCCGTCGGCCTTGCCTGCCCCATGGTTCCTGTGCTTGCCAAGCGCCGAGCTTGAACCGCTCCTTCGAAACAACCAAAGGAGTTCACGATCTGCAGCCTCCACAGTCAAGTCACGGAATTGCTTTCGCCAACCCAGCAGATCTGACAAATATTGCTGAAGCTTTGTGAAGCATTGGAAGCCACACCACGCGCAGCCTCGTCCAACAGCCTGTGCGGCTTGTAGCTTTGTTGCAAACTGCTCCACAAACCGCTCAGAATTACCAACCTTCAGCTCTGCAGCACTCGCAACATTTTTAGCTACCTGTGGCTTCCTACCTGCAGCATTCACAGGCTTCTGTACTTGCCTTCGTGGCTTGCCCAGAGGAGACGCACTCCTTTCTGTATCGGTGTCGCAGCCATCCATTTGCAGTGTCCAAACAACCCAAGTTAGTATTATGATTGGTTTGTGCCGCCAATCAAACAAGCATGACATGAGAAGCTGTAACAATATCATGACCATGGTTTTAATTAATTCTGATCAAGCAACTGCGAGAAGAGACAAATCATAGCAAAAGAAACCTAGTCGTGGCTGCGAGGCAAACACAGGATCATGCAGCTCGTGATTCAAATGCTATGGACTGCCTCCCACAACAATGAGCCTCGGCGCAGATGAAAAAGAAGAAACCTCATGCAGGCAATGAACTGGCCTTCAATGCGACATCCTTGTGCCCGTCAAAGTCAACAGAGCTGGGGTGGCTTCAGTGCATGGTGAGACTACATCACTGTCGAGCAGACATGTCCAAGCAGCACACTCATGCATTTATTCTTCCAAGCTGCCCTGTTGCTTGCACTTCACTCAAGACTTAAAATCAGGACGCCCCTGAGCTTCTCTGAAGCTTCAGTACTGCTCTCATTCATCATACTGCAGCAGAACTGCTACAAGCAAAGCAAAAATGATCGGTGCAGAGAAGGCATTGCCACATAGATCTTGAGCAGAACTGTCTGAGATTTTCTCCAGCTGGAACCGAGCTATTTCCCGCGGACCTAGCCCTTGCAAAGCGAATGCCAAAGAGCTGCTGCAGCCACATATCCAAGTGTCGTGACACTTGTAGAGGAATTTCTTGTGCGGTAACAAGCACGGATGCAGCCCAGACCGAAAGCGTAGTCGTCCGAGAGAACCTCGGCTAAAACCACAGGGGTTTTTGGGGGGCTGCTCTGAGCTGTTGAGTTGGACCGAATACATTTTTGCCGAGAAGCTGCCAACATCACCAGCCAAGCACCGATCATCAAGACGTCGGCCACGCTGCAAAGACAATGCCAAAGTCAATCGGGCTGCGTCCAGCTCCCTCTCTGTCCTGAGCTGGAAGATTATTTCAGGAGGTCGTACTAGATCCCCTGTGAAATTGTAATTTCAGGTAAGGCACGCTGGCAAACGCGAAGCTTGTTGGCGAAGCCCAACCAGCAATGGGTGCTCATCGGCGTCCTTGATGCTGTGCTGCTTCTTGAAAGCTTCGTGCACTTGCTTCCACTTCTGTCCATCTGACTGCCTCTTGACTTTCTTCAGCAGAACTTCATCGGGGTTCTCCAAACACTTCTCCAAGATCTGCAGCAGTGGCTCGGCCTGCTTGGTCTGGCAACGCTTGACAAAGGCCCACATTGCATCCAGCCGTCCTACCTGAGCGGCTTTCCCAGTCTCTCCGAAAGCGGCCAACTTCATGAAGATACCATAGCACCTCGGGCGTGACTGTGGAACCTTGGTGTTTCGCAAACTCCATTTACTCAAAAATGCTTGGTGCAAAACAACAAGCTGCGCTGAAACTGAAGCTCACTCTTTCGACGCTTAGGAGCTCCAAAATTCTTCGTGTTCAACTCCTGCCGGTGCCCAAATAGCCACGTTCCTGGAGCTGATCTGCAACTGCCTCGGTGCCCTTCTCCTGGACTGACTTTCTCTTCTTACCCAGGTTCGCCACGCACTCCAGGAGCAGGCACTGAGGCCTCTCAGAGAAAGGGACCTTGTCCAAATACGACAGGACCTGCAAAAAGCTCTGACCTGAGCGTCCCTGGGAATCTAGCACTGACCTGGGTGTGCTCGAGCAGCCACTGATGTCATCGCATTCGATGCCCAGAGTTGCGATGTGGCAACGAGGAGGATGTGGCTCGGAGACCAAATCCTTGGTTGCGAGCCAGCCTTGTGGTTTGTGACGCACGCCGTGTGCAGCGGTGATGACTTCCATGCACACCTTGTTCTTCCAACTGACGAACTCGGTGAAGAAGCTGGTCTGCAGTGAGAAGGTGATGCCAAAGCAGCTTTGAAGAGTATCTGCAAGCACGCGCCAAGACATGCTGCTGGAGCCCATGCCAGCACAAAACTCGCCCAGAAGACGAGTTTGGGAGCTGTGCAGCTGCTTGAGACGGTGGAGTTCTTCTTCTGAGAGGATGTCTTGGAAAACATTTGCTGCGAACTCATAAAGCCCTGAACCGCGCACAGGTGTGGCTGCTTCTTCCAAAGAGCTGTCAGTGCTCGCCTCGTCAAGGTCCTTACTTGCTCTGGCCTTGCTGGCCTTGCTCTCATTGCCTTCTCTGGTGCCCAACCGAGCTTTAGCAGCATTGATCCGCTGGGTCTCTGGTGACTCAGAAGTGGAAGTTCCAGACTCACTGGCACCTCTCACTTGGACACTGCCCCTTTCATTTTGCCGTGCGGCAGGGCGGCCACGTGAGCAACCTCGGCCCCTGGAGCAGCCTCTGGAGCCACCACGCCCACGTGCCCCAGGCTTTGCCGGCCCTTCTGAAACTGCAGCTGCCTCCTGCTCTGATGCCTCTGTGTCGGTATCCGAGCTGCAGTCTGCCATGGCGATTCTGTCCACTTTTTCATCAAACTCACAGCTGAAACCACGAGCCCATCTGTGCATTGTCAGGTCAGGAATTGAATGCCATGCTCTTGACAACAACACTTGCTATAGACTTGGTTCCAGGCTTAGGCAGGAGACATCGCAGCTTCACAGGAGTACTTTCTCACTGCTGCTTGATAAAGAATGTTGGGCTCTGGCTTTCAGCATCAAGGCAAAAGGAAAGTCAATCTCTTGACCAACCCAAGTGATGGACTGGGCTCCGGGCCTGGATCGCATTGCAGCCTGACAGCAAAGACGTTCAAGCAACTTGCACTTCACCTTGAAAACCTGCTCTCTGCTGCTCCTCCCTTTTTGACATCTGCAAAGACGGCCCCAGAAATGGTACAGAGGAGAGCAAACTGTGAAAGCTAATGACACTGCAGACCCTGGTCACATGTGGACTATGTCTGTCAGCAACAGACCCCAAGCAGCAATGACCCGTGCGAGGATAGTGCGCAGGTAACATCTGCTCACTTTCCCGGCAGCTGCTGCAAAAACTGAGTGGCCAGCTCTTCAGCTGACTTCTTGATAACATCAAGGTCGTTCTCTCCTGCCCACTTGGAGTTGCAAAACTTGAAGAATTTGTCCTCAGCTTTGCTGGGGCTCTTCAGCCTTTCGCGGATGGTCTCGAATCCATCTCTTGCTGCGCGCCACTTTGCAGCTCCGAGCTCAGGCCCGGGACAGTAGCGGGATGCGAAAGTCAGCTTCGGCTTCTTGACAGGCTGCCGAATGGCTGGCTCTGCAGTCTTACGCTTCGAAGTCTTGTCCAATGAGGCTAGGCTGGCATCTTTGGAGAGCTCAGCTGCTGGTGCACCTGGGAGTGCATCTTCTGGTGCACCTGGGATTCCATCTTCCAAAGCCATTGAAATTGGGGTATTGTCCTGCAATGCCAGCATCTTCGGAGCATCTCTTGGCTTGTCCTCCAACGACAGCGTCTTGCGATTCTCCAATGCCAACAATGGCGGCACCTCTGGGTAATCTTCCCCGGAAGAATCCAACGGCGCTGACCTGGCACTGGGCTTGAGAGGTCTGGCCTGAGACAACATAATCCACAAACTTGTGGCAGGAGGAGTCATCTTCTCAACCGGCTCATCTGCGGCATTCATGAGGTCAGCAGGCGTAGGGTTCCACTGCACTTCCATGCGAGCAGATTGCTGCAACTCCCCGAAATCATCATCATTGGGAGGCTCAACACTAGGCGGCTGGCTGACAGGCAGACCAGACATCAGGAAATGGTAGGCAGCTGCACCGGCCATATTGCTGGTTGATGCACGAGGGGTTCACAAGTTACAGCCTGAGCCTTGACACTGATGGCAATTGGCATTGCTTTTAACAAAGGGCAAATGCATCGGCAAGGGCAAATGCATCAGCCAGCCTTCTGCTGCGCTGCACAAGTGGAACGCTAGACCTGATCTCAAGCCAACAGACTCATGGTTTCTTTCATAGAATTTCAGTGTGCTACTTAGGAGCAAATGCAGCTGTATGCAACATTTTCTGCTCTTGCTATTGCGTGACAATGGCTGTCCCACATGGTTTAAAGCAGTTCAGCAGCACGGGCCATGCCATACCACCTGACAAAAATAGCATGTCTGATTTTGGGACTCTTGAACGTAGATGTGCCTCAATGCATGATTGCTTGCCCAATTGTGCTGACAGAGATACCTTGTGCAAAAAGCGGCAACCCTACGCAGTCGAGGCAGCCCGACAAGCACTCTTGGCCTTCCATTGTGTTTGTTGCAGCAACAGGTTATGACCGCACCTGCACTTGGAAATGGACTCTCCCTCTTTCTTTCTCTCTCTGTGTTTACTCAAGAAGGGTGCCCATGAAAAGCCTTCCAGAATGGCAGTGCAAGATTGCTTGTCGAATCGACTCCTTCCTCACTGCTTCTCTCGCAGTCGAAGGAGCTGCAGTGGCACTGTGCGTGGGCATCCTTCCTGTTGGAACTCCACCCTGCCTGTTTATTGATGGTCTGAAACCCTTTTTGCTGGCTATAATATAACGCTAAGTGCCTGATGGTTTGCCCACTGCATGCTTGGCAGCCATGTTCCTCAACCGTAGCACGTGCGCGTGCAGGCCGCTGGGCAATCAAAATTGCCATGATGGACAACACGAAAGAAAGCTTTAACAACAGTGAGGGGCTGTGAACATTCAGGAAACCCTGTTGATGGCCGCACTTGCCCAATGGCCTCGCTGGTGCTACCTTCAAGCATCCGGCCTACTCGATGTTGTCAGCTTCACTGGCACACCCTTTGTCAAGACAATTGGGCGCGTGCAAACCAAGAAGGGCTTCTTTGCCGTGAGCTTCTGAAAGACCCCATCGTGATGGAACCTCCAGCACCATGCGACTGCTTCGTGAAGCGGTGTTTGCTTCAGAGCAACTGTTCGGGCAGCACTCCCGGACGATACGTTTGTGACGGATTTGTCCTTTGGGACAAAGAACCACCGCTCTCCATCGATGGCAGTCAAGTTGTACCCATGGCTTCCCTGCACCTGCCTGATGCTGATGTCATAGCCTGTCACCTTCAGCGCTTGCGGGTTCGATGCCTGGATGTCCTTCAAGACCATGTATGCAGAGCCCTTCTTCAGCTTCACGTTGTTGTCATCGTCGCCTGTCGTCCCGCCGCTGCTGCCACAGGCGACCTCGATGTAGGTCTTGTCACCCTGCGGGAACTGCAGCTCTACACCTGTAGCAGGGCCGCTAGGCTCGTTCACAACCTTGCCTGCCCCGATGCCTGCAATCACCGTGTTCTTCGGCATGGTGTAGGACTCCTTGGGAAGCAAGTAAGCGTCCCCCTGCTCGGAGCACAAGATCTTGCAGGCAGCGGAAGCGAAAATCTTGCTTTCAACAGACTTCTCCCCAAGGACTTCCCTGAGCCCTTGCTCCGAATCCAGGCTCGGCAGTGAGACTGGGTTCGCGGTCTCTTCTGCCACTGTTGCTTGGCCAGTGACAATTGTGGGATTTTCCGACCCCTGCCCACTTGCCAGCCTGAAGTCTGCTTTGTTCTTCAGCAGTCCCTCATACTTGTCCTTGTGCTTTTGCACCAAGTGATCGAGCTGTTCCCGCACAGAGGGGGGACAGCTTGAGAACTCCCCCAAGCGTGATGGGTTGATCGTAACAGCTGTTCCCACGATCATGGTAGCCTTCAGGCTAGACTGCCAGCCATGGACGCCTTCGTAAGCCTCGTAGACGCCATCCAGGCTCTTGAGATGGGTCTTCTCCTCGTCCGTGAGAGCCTTTGGTATTGACCATCCAAAACAGGACAACTACGTGCATTGTCTCTGCAGTCTGCCAAACTGCTGCCAAGGCTCATTGCTCTCCACATCAGTTGGTGCAACGGTGGTGCCGCTCTCATTCTTCAACACCAGTTCGTGTTTCAGCCATCGCTGAACCAGGTACTGACCCAGGCCTCAGCTCGTTGCCAAGCAAGTCAGAGGACGCAACACAAGAAACTCGATGACTTGAGGCAGCTGAAGCACGTTGAGTTGTCCAGGCCACGGCTGCAAGGCCAGTTTTGTTTGCCATCTCGACCAGGACATGCATGAACTGGTGCGATGACTTCTCTGCTTGAAGCATGATTGTTGCCATCGCATGGTCACCCGAGTGAACGTGCATGTCAACAATGGTCAGGACATCTTTCTCGCGAAAGAGTGCAAAGTTGGCAGCGCTGAGCTTAGAGGTGGACAAGAGCTGCTTGAAAAGTGCCACATAAACTTCTGGCCCCTTCTGCGCGGACCGCGTCTGAGGGCAAATTCGAAATGTACTGAATGCCTATCAGGGCGAGCGCTCACTTAACAAGCAGTAACTATCCCAGAACTGCAACACACGTTCATTCATCGTATGCCCGTCCTCCGTGTCACCTGCTGACGCGACGATGGGTGTGATGTCATTGTTGCCAGCCACCTGCGTGATTGGAACCTTGCCAGTTCTTGCTAGCTCCGAATGCCGAAGCCAGATGTTCTGACAATCCTTCTGGTCCAGGCCCAGACAGTACAGCATGCCCTGGGCATGAAAGTCCCATTGCCCCACGTCGGTGGACCTCAGGAGCCAACACTTGTCTATCACTGTCTGTGCTCAATGTTTACACATGATTGCACCACATTCATGGCTGCTGCCTGGCGTCTCCTCGGCCGGAACAGCCAACGGCTGGTGCCATGATCGGTGGACACCAAAGCCAGCGGCCTTCATGGCCTTCCAGAATCCAATATGATCCTCCAAGGGATCCGATGTGCTGTCTTCTTTGGCCCGGTTCGCAATAATTTCCAGGACGATGCTGTTGTTCACACCTGTCGCAAGCAATCAAGGGCCATAGTGCTGCTGACTGAGACATTGGCTGAAGAGACTGCAGCGCCTTGCGTCTTGCAAGCATTGGCCAGCCCTTGCACCAGCTTTGGCTGCAGAATGGAATTGCGGGCCTGAGATTGACAGAGCCCAACAGGTAAAATGAAACAAAAACGACTGGTGTGAGCA